ATCATGTGTTTTCTGAGACAGAAGAACTGGCTCCCTCCGCCTTAAATGAGAATTGATTCAGGCTCTTAAAATTGCAAAGCAGGAACCTGACGCTCAAGCTTAGTTCTGCACACTTTTGACTGCTGAAGGTAAATACACGTTGCTAACTTTTTTTTTTTTTTTTGATGAAGCCTTAAATCTTCACGAATGCATCAGCTTTTGGGCGGGAAAAGGTCATGCATAAACACACTTTGCTAACTAGTCCCTTTACTCATAGAGTGTCTAAGCAAATAAAAACAAAACTGATACATTTTTAGAATTCATTTTATTTTTTTTTTAGAAATAGCCTTAAGAAAAATGATGAATTGTCAAAAATTACAATTTTAAAGGCTATGGGTTTCTACAGTGGTTTAAAATGGATTCAATATTGACTTTATAAGCACTTTACTCCCAAAAGCAAGAATAGACCTTATAATGCATAATGCTCCAGACAACCTTCAAGTAAAAAGCAAAAGGACATTTCTTTGTATGCTTCATGGCAGAAGACATCACTCTAAACTCACAGTTTTTAAAGACATAGCTCAATCAAAGTTGAAGATGGTTTAGCTAGAACGCATCTAAGCTGAGCTTCTCAGGAAAGGAGCAGTATATAAGGTAAGTACAGCAGTAGCCTTAAGTCTTCTTTATGTCTGACTTACTCCTTGGAGACATCTGGAAACCAGTTGACCCTGGATACAATCAGCAGTCAGAGACTCTTAGGATGTAAAAATGCTACGATTGTCCCCTCCTTTCCCCATATACACATGATAAAAGATCTACACGGAGGCTAAACTGATTTCAAGGCCATCACAAATCAAGCCCAGCAGGCCAAGGGTCTATGACTGCATAGTGAAGAATGGGGACAAGTGCGGTGCAAGAGGGTTAGAGCAATATGTCATCGAATACCACCTCAGAGTAAAGATTTTGGCTCACCATCTATAACCAAGCCTTTAATTTTATAGCTCGTCTCTATTAGGAGCGCCAGTCTCTCAGTTTCTCAGCCAACACATTGCTAGATGTCGTCAAAGAGGTCCTCTGGCTCACAAGTGTTTTCCAGTGTTTCGAGAGACATCACATCCGGGGAATGCTTGCCCGATGTCTTCTGTGGGGCCAGATCAGGTCTGGAAATATAAAGCAAAGAGATTTGAAACAAATTTAGATACAGATATAAACAAGTTCATCATATACACTGCCAAGGTAACCATTTAATAGTGTAGTCTGAGCTTTTTGTTAAGGTTACATGTAAGAGAAAAGCGATTTTTTTAAGCCCTAATTACTTGCTGAGATGGCAATGGCAAAACAAACAGATGAAATTCAGCTCATAAATGTCAAGACTTCAGCTATTTTATTACAACTTTTAGGACCCTGACAATGACCATTTCACCCACGATTTCCACATGGAGAGCTAGGGAGGCAGAACAAATGCAGAAAACGTGCAAAGGATCTGCTTTTCCACTACCGCACAGGACGATGCTCTGTTAACTGCTCTTTGCTTTTGCTCTGGATGTGTTTGCATGTGTCTGTTGTCCATCAGTTTGGCATGGAGGCTTATGAAGAATCACACTGAGTTGCCTCAAAGATCTATGCCCCAGAGATGCATGTCTCTCTCCAAACAGTGGAGCAGAAGAAAACAAAGGCAAATGCAGAATACTCTTGCACACTACATGAATCCAGGTATTCAGGGACTTGCAAATCCCTGGCCTTCCCCTGTACGTATGTTATGGTTACATTTGCTATAACTGTATGCAAATAGAAGCACTCATCTTCCACCGATATATGTATGCCAAGGTGTGGGTTCGTCCTCAGATAGCGGGACACCACAGAATCCCACCTGAAAACGTCACGCCTGAATTAGACATCCATTGCATTGAGTAACATGCTACTCTGCATCCACCAGTCCTGCTCAGCACTCCTTTGACTGTCCTCATCAACACAGGTCATTTAAATATCTCTTGCATATGCCAAAAGCCCATGTTTCACTGTTTCTCCTCCCTCTCCAAGACACCATTCTGATAAAGACAGCTCTGCGCTTATGCCTGGGAAGACAAGGTACCTTGTGTTTCCAACGACAGTGGCATTTGCAACAGCTTCCTATCCCTATAGGAATTAATTTTATATGTATAGGCTGAATCCATGAAGAATCTTTGAATCATGCACAGACAACTTTACTTTTGTGAGCTTCAGGAGGAGAATTATTAATCACAGATATGGGAGTTCTCAGTGACGTGATACTGCAGGTTGCTATCACTAGCTGCTTTGAAAACTCCTAATCTTGGTGCAGTATGCCGTAGGGAATTGGTGTAGGAAGCAGGGAGCAGACTTGATGTGATTGTATTGTAGGATTTGGGACTCTCTGGAGTTTCATAAGGGTTGATGGCTTCATGCCCTGGTATATTCCACTGGTGTGATCCTGACAGAAGGTGAAAAATTTGTATATTACAAAGGCCAACACGTCAGCCATCAGGATGGGAAGAACTAGACAGAAGTGATGGAAAGTTACTCTTAATGCTGCCATATGGAGGCTTAGTGCAATGAGGCGTGCAAAAGCAATCTTAATTTTCAGACTAATTCAAGCATTTGCCTTCAATTGCTCCACATTGTAGAGCCAAATTAAATTTGGTTTTAGACAGATTCAGAACCAAGGTTTCCAGAACTCCTACCTAGAAATCTCTAAAGACCAGAAGTTTTTATAAACAGTGCAATCTTCAAAATGTGATGAGCTTCCTAAGACCCCAGCTACTGCGTGATTCATAGCCTCTCACACTTCAAGTTTGTCAAGCCCTTAGAGGCTCAGAGCTCTCACTACGATGTTTCCTGCTGTAGACCTGGGGAATGGTTCTCATTTTGAGGTGGAGCCCCCTATGCTCCTGGGGAATCAGCAAAAGCCCAGTAAATGCTGAGTCTTGGATGCCATCACTTCCTAAGAGCTCTCCAGTATTCAGAAGGGTTTCCTCACCGCTCTATCCATCGCTCCAGTTGTGCAAACCACTTTAAATTCAATGTACTGGTATATTCAGATTATGATAATTACTTTCTCTGGAAGACTAACTAGCATTCTCCATGAACTTTTCCAAAACATTTTCCTTCAGGTCTGAATAAATTGTGTCCAAGCATTTTCTTTTCCTTTTGGTATGCAGTGACATCTAGACAGATACGTGTCTTATCAGAAGTCACTTGGACTAACTGTGAAACAAACCTGCCAGAATCAAACCCTTAGCCAATGACCTCTGGTCAGCAGGATCAGATCATTCCATGCTGTTCTGATTGCTAGCAATCAACCTATTTGCACCCTAATTTTTTTTAAATATAGGTAGCATACCCCAACACAGTGTGATGCTCAAGCTTACTATTGAAGGTGTCTTTCTCTTTTACCTTTCTAGGTCTATCTAGAGCATTAAGTCTCCAGTGAGAACATATGTAAATCACACTGTGTGGAGCCACACACCGATCATTTTAATCAACCCTGAAAGGGCTCACCAGCAAATAAATTAGGCTGTGAATACCTCTGTACCCCTCCAGCCTATTTCAGGTCATGGAAGTTTTTTTTAGAGCATATCCTCACATGCCATATAGGCATATAAGACTAGGCAAAAGACTAAAAGACTTCTGAGACTCCACATTTGTTGACTTTGAGGTTTTACCTATTCCAGCGCTTTCTGATTTTGAAAAGTAAGCCTGACTGATTAAGCAGTATCAACAACAATTTTATCCTCATTGGCTAAAATAACTCTTTTCAACACTATGCATCTATAAGCCAAATCACTGTTGAGTTTTAACATTACACAGCTAGAACTATTAAGCTTCTGCGTTCTTGGAACAACATGGTCCTCATTTAATCTCCAAAAGCTGTAATACCGTGCCTGTGAATAAACCCAACTACACTTGCAAAGTGGAAGCATTAGGCTCTTTACATGAAGTTCATAAGCAACTTAATTTTAAGACTTGATGATTCCTATTTGTATGGCAATTATTCACTGAATGCCAACAGCTTGCTTTGTGCTGTTAAATTATTTTGAACCTTGGATTCTCACTGAAGCTGTATTACCATATCCCGATGCATAACTGAGTTAATTTCTTTAAATTGCAGTGAGTTGTATAGGCTTCTCTTGCCAAAAAGCCTGTAAGTAAGGCATTCTTCTTGAAAGTTTATTCTTCTGTTGGATCACTTTTTGAAGTCTTGCCTTTTGGTAAACTTAAACTCCATTAACACATGTTGAGAACTGCTGACTATAAGAGATCATTTCATATTTCCTGACATTTAGTTCAAGCCCTTCATAAATTGAGACAGAAGACCAGATCCACAGCTGGTGTGAATCACTGGAGCACTAATAATGTCAGTGGAGCTCTGCTGACTTACACCAGCTGAGACTCTGGCCCAAGATTTGGAAGAAAGTGGTTACATTACTTGATATTTCTTTCCACAGCTGAGTAAGAGCCATAAGAAACAGAAGACACACAACACTTTAGTACTTAACTAAACAGCACAGAAACTCAAAGCCATGCAGAGTGATGGCTTGGCATCGCTTGGGAGAAAACGCGACGCCTTTTTTTGCAGTAGTACAGATGGACCACTCCCCTTTGTTTCTCGTGCTGAATTAATCCTGAGGCTCACACAGACCTCAGAGAAGAGCTGCACAACACTGTTCCTGCTACGACAGACGGCCAGTTCCACAAGATAATGTTTGTGATGCAGTCTGAAGTAGAAAATAGCCTCCTAAGGTGACTGCTACAAATGACACGATTAAAAAGAGCTTCCTAGTGGTGAAAAGATCAAACAAGTTGTAGCTGTGCTGAAGGAAAATCAGGTCAGAGGCTGCGACATCAGCACAACGGCTCATCTTCAATACTTCTTGCTGGAAAGATGAAAGGTTCTTACACTTAGCTATGCTTGTATAGCCAGCCCAGCATGCTGTGGTTATGATTTTACCCAAGTTTTCAAGTTTTTGTTCTCAAGGAACTCTCATGGGATTTGAAAAGAGAAATACCCTTGTAAATTAACCTAGCTATAAAAGTTTCCCAAGAAACTTAGGTAATCTAGGAGGCATACTGGTGTCCTTGGACCATTACATTATTTTCCTCATTTCTTAGTAACTAAAATAATCAGTTCCAAATCAAAAACTGGCATTTCACTAAGAGAGATTTCAGCCCTCCCAGAAGATGTGTGGCAGTGTTTTAGGAAAAGGCTGAATTTCTCAGTGTGTATGTCTTTCCTTAGCTTGGTTTAATGGTTCATTTTTGTCGTTAATCTGAAAAAAATGAAGGCTTAATACCATGAGTAGACAAAGGATATAATCTGATGCATACTTTCTTCAGTATCATAAAAATAGATGGCAGCAGCAGCTCATAAACAGAGAATTGGTAGTCATTACAGCATTAACACAGGAACGAAGGTGAGGCACCTCAAATGCTAACGAACACGTGCATTGCGACTGACAGGGCAACAGCTCAGAGCAACATTTGTGCTCCAGAGATGGCACTTGGAGTCCACCCCGAGAGAAAAACTCGGATTCTTTGATTTATCAGCAATCACCTGCTGTCTTGGTTGTATAAACATCATCTTCACAGAAAGGCCTCAGACGAAAGGTACTCATCAGCCATTGTCATTAAGGAAGGATTATGAAAGGAGCTTTGAGTAAAGCTCACGGCTATACGAAAAACCTTGGCCTTGAGTAACCGATGCCCTGTGGTGTGAGCTCTTGGGAGACATCATATTGACTGCCTATGGCTACTGGCCAAAAAGAGGAAAGTTCAACCATGAAAAGAAAAAGAAATGGTGTAATGGAGAAGGGGGAAAAGCATCTTACATTAATAGATGCATCAAGAACACTATGTGCAGACAGACCTCTCTAAAGTTGAATATTAAAAATGTAAGTAAGTTGACTAAATTGAAACTACATGTGATTAAAAATGCCAGGATAGTCCCCTTTACAGAAATGCTACAATGGCTATAATATAAGGTAAATTATAAAGGTATTTTTCTTTTTAATTCATTTTAAAATGGAAAATGGAACTCAATAATTTGGTTTAGGTTTTGGCAGTACTATGAGTCTTCAGCTTCCAAATATAGACTACTCTGGCATTTATTCCTAGAAATAATATGAAAATAAATCCATATATTTCT